CCAATGAATTCGGTAAAGTTACACGATATAAAATGAACATACAGAAATGTGTTGCATTCTGTACACTAATGACAAACTATCAGAAAGAGAAATTGAGAAAACAATCCCACTTACCATCACATCAGAAAGAATACAATACCTAGAAACAACCTAAGGAAGTAAAAGACTTGTACTCAGAAAACTACAGGACATTGATGAAAGAAATGTCAGAAAACACAAACAGGTGGCGAGACATAGCATGCTCATGGGTTCGGAGAATTAATATTGGTTAAAGACCATGTTACCTAAGGCAATCAACAGATTCAGTGCAATTCCTATCAAAATACCGGTGGAATTTTTCACATAATAAGAGCAAAAATTGTAAAATCTGTATGGAAACACAAATGACCTCCAACAGCCAAAGCTATCTTAAGAAGACTAGAGCTGGAGGTATCACGCTCCTAGATTTCAGAATATAGCATACATTTTATAATAGCTTTAGCCAGAGTATAATCTATAAAAATTTTGAATGACAACATTATACACATGAAACTAATAGGAAATTGTACAAATATACCTTAATTTTAAAAATATATACATATATAGATAAAATCATGTCCAAGTTTCCAATGGGCACTACCCTTTAAAACCACTTTTTGAAAATATGGTATCTGGGACCATGAAGTCTAGAACAAGATACGGGGCTGTCGTATTTACTCACTGCAAATAACTGAAAGAAAAATGAGTCATACATACCTTGCTTATGTATTTGGTGACATCCTTAATGTTTATCTGTAGAATATTCCCAATGATGGGGAGAGGGGTAGGGCCAGGTGGCAGCTTCCCTTTGGCATACCTTTGGTTCCATAGAAAAAGGAAAATCAAAAAAGAAAGACAAATCACCAGGACTATGAAGAGATCCATTGATGTGCTTTGTGCAAGCGCAACTGAAGGCTTAGAATCCAAAGACTTTTTAAATAGTAGGTGCAAACTTATCAGCAAACATGCAGTAAGTCTTTGAACCCTTGAGTAAATATTGTTTATCATCAGTGCACTTTGGCCTACCAGCAGACACATAAATAAAAACACTCATCTTGGTGTTAATAAATATCCAAATTTTCAATGGAAATCTCAACTAAAAAGCAACTCACTTCTTCAGCGATGGCCATATTTTAGTAATGAAATTCAAAGCTATCAGATTTCAAAGGGTTGGAATTCATGATCACAACAAATGATGAAACAGTATCTCTTACATCAACATTCAACATCTTATGAGCAGAAGAAGCACTCTCTTAGTGCCTTTTCTCAGAAGATCAGGGAAAGGCCAAAATTCAAAACAGAAGGAAGGAGGCAGGATAAAAAAGAAAGGTATAGGGAGTTGGTCTTATCTTAGAGAAGAGTAGATATCCCAACATGCTTGCAGAACCCTTTTCTATACGTCAGGAGTTCTGACACCACCTACTCCCAAAGTGGGTGCAGGTCAACAGGCAGTAGCAGGTGAACAGGCAGTAGACAGAAGACAGGAGTAACAAATCTTGAGGAATCCTCAAGTCAAGGAAAGAATACACTCAAAGACATCAGTGGAAAGTCCCTTGGCTGCACATCGCCCACCACCCTCCTTGCTTATACATTTCCAGTGAGGATCATATATCAGAGCATACATTGCCTGTTCACTCTTGGGAGAGGAAATACACTCCAGCATTCAATAGTGTAAATATTTTTAAGTGTCTAGAAACTTACAGATATGAATGAAACTTCAAGACTCAAAAGATATTTGAGGAACTTCAACAGCACAACAAATATCAAACTAAAAAATCAGAAAACTAATCCCTAAAGACTTTAGTGAAAACAGAAATAATACAAAAATAAATATATCATCAGATAAATTTAGCCATATGAAGAGAAAAACTTTTTAGAAAACTTATTAGAGGTTCTCATTAATTAATTCTCTGGTTGCAAAAATGCTTTTTAAAAAACCTAAAATGATATACCTTTCCTATTAGTAGAGGAAGAGCAAAACGAAAGGAAGAAAGCTTGATCAATCCAACTAAGGACAATATAAAACGAAGTCTATGAAACATAAGATAAAAATCATCACTTTCATCAAAGATTGCATGGGTATTTAAAAGAAGCCTCCTGAATACACTGCCCAGTGACCAGTATGGATCAAATAAATATGAAGACTAAAAGCAAGTTCCGTGTATAAAAATTAAGTGCAAAATAACTATGATGAAAATTACGAAGTTCAGTGATATGGACAATAGTTATAGAATGTCCTTCATTGATAGCAAGCACATCAATGACACTTATTTTGGATAAATTTGGATACTTATGTTGGATAACAATTAATTAATCTAATTAATTTCACTAATAATTTTTAAAAAAATATTTAAGTAGCCTACTTTCATAGCATGGCTATATCAATATACAACTAGCATATAACTTAACACCACGAGATTGACTGAAGAAATATTTTAGTGGCTCTTCTGTGCCAGATATTTTACATCCTTTTAGCTCAGTTGATCTTCAAAAGATGCTCTGAACAAAAATGTTTCAGCTGAAGACTCCAACTCTTGTTTTATAACTTGTGAACTCTGCATTGGAAAGTATTTCAATTCAACTACATTCCACAATATCTGCTGAGTAATTATTATGTTCTCTCACAGTCTTATTTTTTTAATTGAAGTATGGTCAGTTTACAATGTTGTGTCAATTTCTGGTGTACAGCAAAACTGTTCAGTCATACATATACATACATATATTTCTCTTCATATTCTTTTTCATTATAGGTTACTACAAGATACTGAATATAGTTCCCTGTGCTATACAGTATAAGCGTGCTGTTTATGTATTTTATATATAGTAGTATCTGCGAATCTCGAGCCCCCAATTTATCCGTTCCCACCCCTTCCTCCTGGTAACCATAAGTTTGTTTTCTATGTCTGTGAGTCTGTTTCTGTTTTGTAAATAAGTTCATTCGTCTTTTTTTTTAGATTCCACATATAAGTGGTATCATATGGTATTTTTCTTTCTCTTTATGGCTTACTTCATTTAGAATGATGATCTCTGGGGAGGGTGGGGGAAGGTATAACTCAGTGGTAGAGTGCATACCTAGCATGCATGAGGTCCTGGGTTCAATCCCCAGTACTACCACTAAAAAAATAAATAAATAAGCCTAATTACCCACCCTTGAAAAAAAAGAGGGAATGACAATCTCTAGGTCCATCCATGTTCCTGCAAACGGCATTATTTTATCCTTTTTTATGGTGAATAGAATTCTGTTGTATAAGTATACCACGCTTTCTTTATCCAGTCATCTGTCAATGGACATTTAGGTTGCTTCTATGTCTTGACTGTTGTAAATAGGGCTGCTATGAACATTGGGGTGCATGTACATTTTTGAATTAAGGTTCCCTCTGGATATATGCCCAGGAGTCAGATGGCTGGATTATATTTTTAGTCTATTTTTAGTCTTTTGAGGAATCTCCATACTGTTTTCCATAACGGCCAACCAAACTACGTTCCCACCAGCAGTGTAGGAGGGTTCCCTTTTCTGCGCACCCTCTCCAGCATTTATCTTTTGTAGACTTTTGAATGATGGCCATTCTGACAGATGTGAAGTGATATCTCATTGTAGTTTCCATTTGCATTCTCTGATAATTAGCAATATTGAGCATTTTTTCATGTGCCTATTGGCCACTGTATGTCTTCACTAGAGAATTGCTTGTTTAGGTCTTCTTGCAATCTTACTTTGGCATAAAAATCCATTTAAGATTAAATAGTTATTTTGAGTCAATAATTTCACCATGAGTAAATCAAAATGAGAGTTCAGAAAAGTTTGTCCCTTAGTAATACTTAGCACTTTAGGAAGCCAGGATTCAAAGATTTAAAGAACTTGATTTCAACAAAATGCATTTATTAGCTATCCATTCCCATACCTAATATCCACTACCTCAGCACATTTCTGGTACTGAAAGAAGACCAGATTTTTAAATGGTTTCATTCTCTCTTCCTCTTTCTCTCAATCTCTGGTACTGGGAGAGGAGCATATTTTATAACAATTACATTCTCTCTTTCACTCTTTCTCTCACAGTCTCTTTAGAGTAATCCCTGTGCCTAAGAAACTTGTGTCTTAGCTTTTTCTATGCTAACTGTTTGGGGTCCGTATGCCTGGCCATTTTACCCTTCATACAAGGAAGAATACATAGAAGTTACTGAGCTGGAATAGATCTTTGAAATTATCTAATAAAATTCCTTATTTCCATTTTTTAAGAGCAATGTGATAATGGCTCAGAGAAGTAAAGAGTTTCATATAGTCATAGAGTGGGTTAACGGCAGAGCTGCCAATCTTTGCTTCCTGAAATATAAGATTTTTTAAAAATCACCTGAATCTGAAGAAATTTTAAATTTATATAATAGTGAATGTAGGAAACACTTGCTATTAAATTTTAACTCTGATACACAAACATGAGAAAACTAAAAGGTTATGAAAGTTTGTGATAAGCTGTCTTACCCTAGATAGCAGGGGCGAAGTTTAGGGAGCAACAATCTTTTACCTGAAATCCTCAATCAGAGCTCAAAAAGAAACTGGGTTGTTAATCTAAGAAATATTCTTTTGCCCCTTGCTCTTGGTGACCATCAAAGAGTATGTGGGAATATTGAGTACAGAATCTACTTTATGGGTACCTTGGCTAAGATTCTAGTTTGTGAGTAGGTGGAGGACAGGCATGTTAAAAATCATCTCATCTGTTAACTTCTATACATAAAAACAGATAAAAAATAAATTTCTTCTGTATAGCATAAGGAACCATGTTCAGTATCTTGTAATAGCCTTTAATGAAAAAGAATATGACAGTATGGAGACTCCTTAAAAGACTAAAAATAGACTTACCATATGATCCAGCAATCCCACTCCTGGGCAAATATCCAGAGGGAACTCTACTTCAAAAAGATACCTGAACCCCAAAATTCATAGCAGCACTATTTACAATAGCCAAAACATGGAAACAATGTAAATGTCCATGGACAGATGACTGGATAAAGAAGTTGTGGTATATTTATACAATGGAATACTACTCAGCCATAAAAAATTAAAATAATGCCATTTGCAGCAACATGGATGGACCTAGAGTTCATCATTGTAAGTGAAGTAAGCCAGAAAGAGAAAGAAAAATACCATATATCACTCATATGTGGAATCTAAAAAAAAAGACAGACAAACTTATTTACAAAACAGAAACAGACTCACAGACATAGAAAACAAACTTACAATTACAGGGGGAAGGGGGAGGAAGGGATAAATTGGGAGTTCGAGATTTGCATATACTGATTAATATATATAAAATAGATAAACAAAAAGTTTATATTGTATAGCACAGGGGACTATATTCAATATCTTGTAGTAACTTATGGTGAAAAAGAATATGACAATGAATATATGTATGTATATGTATGACTGAACTGTTTTGCTGTACACCAGAAATTGACACAACATTGTAAACTGAGTATACTTCAATAAAAATATAGATTAATAAAAAGGAAAAGAATATGAAAACAAATATATGCATGACTGGGACATTATGCTGTACACCAGAAACTGGCACACTGTAACTGACTATACTTCAATTAAAAAAAAAAAATCATCCCATCCCCCAAGCCAGCTATGTTCAGTGCCAAAAGGGAACTTCCCAGCTAGAAAGAGTTCCCCTCACCAGGAAAGGAAGAGTGGAGTGACCAACTAGCTTCTCCAACCCTTTGGGTCACTGGGAAAATGTCCTACTTTGATTTTAGCCCACCAACACTAGCAAAGCTAAGATGTATACAGACGGCTAAGAACAAGGAAGAAACACAGGGGCTACTAATAACAGTCACACAGTGGGAGTCACAGCAGTTCACAGTGACCTACTTAGGAGACAAACTCGGCTCTGATTAAACCAACATTCCGCGCAACCACCTTGGACC